ATGAGCAAGTATACTGCTCGTAGATCAAAATTCCGAGTTAAAAAGTTGCGATGAAATCAACTAAAGCATTGGAAGCTTACTTGTTTTGTGGAAGCGCTTCGCCCTCTGTGCTATGAAGTAGTTGAATGCGTTCTGGTAGCTGATGTACATTCTGAACACGTGCTCAATGGCCTGCGGCTTCATGTACATGTTGAATCTGAACAAATCAACCAATTGGTTTGTTTAAGAACTTTCATTAAGCCTCTTTCTCGAATATGGCTTTTCGGCTGAACTCTGACAAGTTTTCGACCCTGCCTCGGTCAAAACATAAATAGCAAACCTCGGCCCGGGTTCTTTGCGAGGTCTAAAAGTGTGCCATTTGAGGACTGTTGTGCTGCAAAAGTTGGGAAACGAAAAATCACCAATCCGACTGAATAAAACTAGTGATTCGCAAAGAGTGTAAATTATTTCATGAGTTATAAATAGAAGTCAATTGATTTTTGTTAAATGCAGTTTTAAATAAGTAAATCAGTTCAATCGTAGATTTAGTTTAAGTAGAAAGCTGAGATGTCTTTTTTAGGCTTCAACATTCCGCCTCCCTTGAAGTGTCTTCAATTTTCAGATCGTTATTATGTCTGGATATGACTACCCATTTACAGTGTATGAGACGAAGGAGAGGAAGAGTAGGGCGGAGTCGGATAGAGCACCACGTCTGCCTCCGCATGGAGAGGTGCGAAGGTCCAGTAGGCGGGGCGCTGTCGACTGGGAGGACCTGCAGGGTTTCTTCGATGCAGTGACCATAGGAGATCTGGGTTTCACTCCGATTCCTGTTAAGTCGTTGGATGAGATCCAGTCTTCAAGGAAGGAAGCTGCAATTGTGGATAGGGCAGTTCTGCGGTTTCCGAAAGCTGAGACTGTGAGTAGCATTTATTCCATTGTAGCATAGTAGTAGAGTATAGCGGGTGTGCATCAATTGTTTGTTTTGTTTTAGAAGCAACTTAGAGGTCTTAAACGTATTGGTGACCTCAGCGTAGAAGGGTCATTGTGCACTGGCTGGTAGCAATGATTCGGAGATGGGGTTCACTGATGCTGCTAAGTATCTGAGGAACCTCTATGGTTCTCAGCAGAAGAAACTGGTCCGCTATGGTGTTCTTGAGAAGGGGAAAAGTTTGTATCTTCCATATGCGTGGTGCCATGCAGTTCTGACTCTCTGCGACAAAGAGAGGGTCTGCTGCAAGTACTATTCGGAGATGCAAACTCGACTTTCCTTGGTAGCATCTGCGTGGAAGCGCTGCCAGCAACACTGCAGGGTCAACAAGCGAAGAGGACCAGATGACAGCGAATCGCATGACAGCGAATGACTGTTCAACGGTAAATATGTAAAAAATTATTCAATAAATGAACTAAATGTGACTGCACCATAAGTAAGGAGTATACAAGTGAAGTATTAACGGTACGAGTCATGAGCGAAAGTTTGTCTTAGCTGTTTTCAGACAATAATTACATTTTGTGTCATGAGGGTACAACCTCATACGAATTTTTAATGCTGCGAATTTACAACAATGGGAATTTACATGAAAGTGGTCAATATGAACGATTCAGACCATAATGTATTGCATAGGGGGTAATTTAGGCTCCTACTTTCAAAAGGGTCATGGGGGTACTACCACTTAAAATTTGAAAACTGCACATTTTTGATATTTTTCGATTTTTAGCACTATAAAGTTCTTGTTTTAAATGAACTGCACAATGGATATGACTTGGTTGCTATACTGGTAGCTTCCGCAACTTCGCGACTGGGCGTATGTATTCACCAGTTGTGGTCTTCACTTTTACCACTCGAACAATCGAGTCATTTCCAGGATAAACTTCTATGATTCGTCCAGTTTTCCATTCTAGCGGTCGTTCATTGTCTTCGGCAAGTAGGACTAGGTTGCCAACTTTAAATTCTGGGCCATCCGTGAACCATTTTTTCCGTATTTGTAGCGTTATGAGGTAATCCCTTTTCCAAACTTTCCAGAAATCCTTGATCATATTCTGTAATAGTCGATATCGTACATTGGTTGAAACTTGGATGTCAGCAGAGGGAAGAGTTAGCAATGATTCCCCTATCAGAAAATGAGCGGGTGTCAGCGGAGTTGGGTCGTTAGGATCACTTGACATTGGATACAATGGTCGTGAGTTTAAGACACCTTCAATTTGATTAAGAATTGTAAGAAATTCTTCAAAACTGAGACGTTGCAGTCCTATAACTTTTCGCATATGTCTCTTCATACTTTTTACAGCTGCTTCCCAGAGTCCTCTAAAGTGAGGAGCACGAAGAGGGATGGTGACCCATTCAGTTCCTTGGCTATTGACGAAACTAACAACTGATTTGTCCGTTCCATTTTTGTCGAGCAGTTCCTTGATTTTGATCAGATCATTTCGAGCCCCAATAAAATTGCTTCCATTGTCACTTAAGATCTTCTCAGGTTTGCCACGGCGTGCAGTAAATTGTTTCATTGAAAGGATGCATGCTTTTTTGTTTAGACGAGTAACCATTTCCAAATGAATAGCTTTTGTCGCGAGACAAACAAAGACGGCAACATAAATTTTTGAGACCCCCTGCTTCCTTAATTTCAAAAGGACCAGCAAAGGCTATTCCACATTGAGCAAATGGCTTTGTGGGTGTTATTCTTTCTGTAGGAAGATCAGCCATGAATTGAGAAGTAGGTTGCTGACTAAATCGGACACATCTCATGCATCTTCTAATGAACTGTCGAACTAGATCACGGCCTCCGATTATTCAAATTTCCTCCCTCATCGTGTTCAGTACTAATTGCCCCCCCGCCATGAAGAGTACCTTCATGATATTTGCGTATAAGTAGGGATACTAAATCCGATTTTTTTTGAAACGAGTATTGGAAACTTCGTAATCCTTGTCGAAAAACGGACTAAGATTGAGTAGTTTCGATGTTTTACTCAGCTCCCTTTTCACCTTCAGACAATTTAGCTCTGATTTGAAGTGTATTTCTTGGTCTAAACGAAGAATTAGCATTTTTGCCATGATTCTATTTTTAGGACTAAGACAATCTTCTTCAAGTTGTACAGATTTCCGCTTAGATCTGAGCCGCTTCCGATAGTTTGTCAATATTCAGTGCTTAAGATGTTGAACAAATGATAGTATATAGCATGCCATGCGTACTGTCTTGTTCCAAGTACTGTAGTCCTTTAAACGAAAAATTCAATCCGTCATTTCTTCGTTTTGAGCATGATTTGCGAGAACAGTTCGAATTTGTTCACTTTCTGCATTAGTCTTGGCTTTGACGGTTCGTTTTTCAGGTGCTTCAATTAGAGATGGTAGTAAGTTGGGCCAGTGCCTTTCATCCTTGGTCAGCCAATCTGGTCCTTTCCACCAGAGTGAGGAAGATATTAATGTGTCAGCTAATACACCACGAGAGGCTAAATCAGCTGGATTTACTGCTGTTGGCACGTAATTCCAATCACTTCTGGGTAGGGTCTCTTGTATTCGTGAAACTCTGTTTGCAACAAAAGTGTTCCATGTTCTTGGAAGTTGAGCAAGCCATTGCAAGACAATTGTTGAATCAGTCCAGGCGTGTGAAGTTATCTTGAGATTTGTTTTCCTCAAAATTGAATGAACTGATTTAAGAAGTTTGGTAGCTAAACTTGCACCGCAGAGCTCTAATTTGGGAACAGAGATTGCTTTGACCGGAGCAATCTTGTTTTGGAGGTCAGTAGATACGCAAAAGTTTTGTCATCATCATTGGTAATTCTTGCATAGATTGCGGCTGCATATGCTTTTTCGGAAGCATCACAGAATACGTGAAGTTGAACCTCCTTTATTGGATGTGAGCTCATAGATCTTGGTATCTGTAGTTCCAGTAGTTGAAGCAAAGTTCCGGTGAGCTCATACCATTTTTCCTTGGTTTTCTGATCGACTCCAGAATCCCAATCAAAATCTTGGACCCATAGCTGTTGCATGAGACATTTGAAATTGATGATGAATGGAGCTAGCCATCCCATCGGATCAAACAATTTTGAAATTGTGGACAGAAGAGTCCTCTTTGTAAGCAATTTCAGCTCTGGTAAGGCAGTTGAAAAACAAAAGATGTCCTTATTGGGCTTCCAACTGACTCCTAGCGCCTTGATTTTGTATTCGTCAGAGAAAAGTTCCAGCACATCCGATTTTTCGCGGAGATGTTCTGGCAATCCTTCAATTATTTTAGCATGAAGTCCATTTTCGTAGAGGGAATTCATGAGAGTTCAGCTCTTCGCATAAATCAGAGATGAGTCTTTCTGCTTAATGCTTATCATTAGCGCCACCAAGAAAGTAGTCTACATAGAAACAATTTTTGAGACTTTCTTTGATCATTGAGTTCTTAGATTGATCTGCTACTTCATTGAGGTAACTTGTTGAGTAAAACGCTGACAAAGCTATTCCATATGTAACACATGTCATCCTGAGATGCTTGATTTTATCCGATTTATTTGATCTCCAAAGTATGCGATGGAAATCCTTCGATTTGTCTTCTAGAGCAACTTGTCGGTACATTTTTGCGATATCTGCTGATAAAACAATTGGGTAGAACCTGAAGCGCATGATTATCGAGTAGAGGTCGTCTTGTACCGTGGGACCAACCATCAAAGTGTCGTTGAGTGATTGTCCGGTTGATGTTGTTGCAGATCCGTCGAAAACTACACGTAGCTTTGTGGTAGTAGAATCTTCCTTGAAAACGCAGTGATGTGGCTGATAATATACGCTATCCACTGGCTTTCGATTTCTCCAGGCGGTATGTACTCCATATGCCCCATATCGAGAAATTCGTCTATGAATGCGGTATAGCGATCTTTTAGTTCTGGATTCTGTTCCAGTCGTCGCTCGAGATAATTGAATATGCGTTTTGCTTGTGCTAAACTGTCGCCAAGTTGACTATTGGGCTTGAAAGGCAGCTGCACGGTGAATCGTCCATTTTGTAGGATGGTTGTTTCCTTAAAGTGAGATTCACATCGATCTTCTTCTGTTGTTGTCTTTTTGAAATCAGGAATTTCTTCTAATTCCTCAATAGACAGAAGAAATGAATTGAAGAAGGTTGTTGAAGGACCGGGTGTTCTGCCGCTAATCATCCAACCAAATAGAGTGTCACGTGCATAAAGCTTGTCTGTAAACTTAATTTTTTCGCAGCCAACAATGTCGTTGTAGACATCATAGCCTAGGATTATATCGATTTCCTTTGGTTTATCAAAGTCTGGGTCCGAGAGCTTAAGACGTGTGATATCCAAACTGTTCGGTATATTCACCCGTTCTCTGGGCAGCTAGCCAGAAAGTTTTTGAAGAGTGAAGGCTTCACGTTGTAGAGATTGATTCTGAGAATCCTTTGTTTCCAGATTGACAGAACCAGATTTCACAGTTTTTGCTCCTCCGCCAACTCGAGTTAGTTGAGGGTCAATTTCTTGATTGGTAGCTTGAGTCGGTTAGCACAGCTGGTTGTAACGAAACTGCATTCAGATCCGCTGTCCAGTAAGGCTCGATAATTGTGATAACCGCCATTTGCAGTTTTCACCTCAATTAGTACAGTTCCCAGTATGGTAGTGGCACCGGTAGTACCCCCGTGACCCGCAAACTTATTTTCAGGTCCCCGTTGCTTTTTTGGGTCTGTGTGGATGTGAAGTAACGAGTGATGACCCTTTCGACAGGTTTGGCACGTTGACTTCGACTTGCACTCATGATTTTGGTGTCCAAAAGACAGGCAATTGAAGCATAATCGCTTTGATTTGGCTTCTTGTCTTCTATTGGAAATAGACATTTCCTGAAATTTTGTGCATTGATACACGCGGTGATCACCACTGCAGCATGGGCAGATGATCATCTTAACAGAGTTTGTGTGGTATGTCTGTACCTTGTCATCTTTCTTAGAGTTTCCAGATTGGTCTGAATTTCCTTGATAATTTTTTCTATGAATTGAAGGTAATTGGAGGTCCTTCGTAGCTTCTAGGGCGCGAGATCGTTCCTCCAAGAACTTCTCTATCTGTTTGATTTTTGGCACGTCACGTCCCGCGCAGGAAAGTTCCCATTGTCTTCTAGTTTCAGGATCTAATTTCTTGGCCAAAACGTGAACCCAGATCAAATCGCATTGATCAATTTTTAGTCCAATTCCTGTCAGTGCCATCGTGTTTTCCGTGTAGGTATTAATCAAGCGACGTATTGCAGCGGATGACTCATGCTTCATTGGATTGAATTCAAAAATTGCTTCCAAGTGAGCGTGTGAGATCATCTTGACATCAGCATATCGATCATTTAGAAGTTTCCTTGCGACTGAGTAGTTCGCGTTTGTAGTAGGCAAGTGGGATAGCAAACGAAACGGTTCATCCTTCAGGGCCTCCTTTAGGTATTGCAGTTTCTGAACATCAGACAGCGATGCATTTGAGTGAACTGCTCGATCAGAGGAATCTAAGAAAGGTAGCCATTGATCAAACCTTCCGCTAAATATTGGCGATTTCAGTTTCGGCAACTTCAGGCAAGTATCTTGGTTCCAGCCAGCACCACGTTGGGAAGTGGATTTGTAGGATCCTGTTCCGCTTGCGCTGTCGTCATCTTTGACCGATTCAGTTGAATATTTTCCTCGGTCATCTAACATAGTTGTGATCATTTCCATCAAACAATCTACTTGAAGGTAGATTTTCTCAGCTTCTTCCAATTCAACTTCAAGTGCATCTTCATCATCGCTTAGAACATTTGAAATTTGCTGATTAAGCTTTTCCAGTTCCTTTTTCCTTCGTTCGCACATCTTGAGATTGGCCTTGAGAGTTCCAATTTCCTTGTAGGTTAGAGCAGATGCCTCTTTGTTGAAGATTGCTGAGACGGCATTTTCCGATCGGGTAATGACACCGATGTTAGCACTTCTTGATCGCTTCAAAGCAGGAAGAGTGAGCGTCACGTTGCTCATGTCACTAGCAGGTGATGACATTTTTAACTTTCCTCTTTGTTTCTAATCTTTGGTTCGTTCGTGAGTCGCGTTGCACCAAAAATGTTGTGCATCAAAAGTTGGGAAACGAAAAATCAACAATCCGACTGAATAAAACTAGTGATTCTCAAAGAGTGTAAATTATTTCATGAGTTATAGATAGAAGTCAATTGATTTTTGTTAAATGCGGTTTTAAATAAGTAAATCAGTTCAATCGTAGATTTAGTTCAATCTTTTTTAGGCTTCAACAAGGACCACGCGCAATAAAACGCTGGAAACCTTAATAAGCAAAGCAGAATTAATTTTAGAGTGTGTGGCATACCTGGATATCTTTACGTGTACTGCCTGTGAAGCGACCCCCTCCAACTCCTGTCCCTCCCCCTCCCCCTCCCCATGTTCCTTGCTCATCTCCTTGGGGGAGGTCTCGAAGTGGACTGCCAACTTGACAAAGGCCTTCTTCTGCAAACGCACACTCCCTGGTGAACTCTTGTAGAGAGAAGTGCCCGAGGGACGCACCTGCAACAGGAATCAACATTAGTTGCAAACAGAGAAATGAACGCAAGGAAGCTGAAAAATACTGACTTGTATTTTGAAAAACTTCTTCATTCTAATTTTAGAGAAAAAATTTATGCCTCAAAGCTCATTGAATTTCAAGAACAATTTATGAGAGGTGTTTTTCGACAAACTTAACCCAAGATCAATTGGTAAATTTCTAACTCCGCTGGGAAATCTGATAATTAAACTCCATTTTCGAAACTAGAAGTCAATCACGTTTGTCGTGACTTTTAAAATTTGCTGTTCGATAGTGGAGTCTGCCTTCATTTTAACAACGGAAACGAACTGAACTGAAAAAGAAAGCTTAAGTTAAACCGCGAAAAGTCAAAAATGAGCGTGCACAAGTTTTAAAACGTTTTCCTGAAAAAAAAACAAAAAAAATCACCAAGACCTATATAACTGCATAAAAGTACTCTCGACATTCATTACTCGTAAAAAAAACATTTTGATTTGATTCAAGTCGGCATACTTCTGAAACTTTTCCTTAAAGTTGATGTTTTCGTCAGAGACTTCCACAGAAGTGCTCGAAGCTAATTTCGAAAAATTTCAGCAAGTTTTAGGTATAACCTCAAAAAAAAATCGGGTTAACCTAAAAAACACAACAGTTTTTTTTTGAGAATCCACCGAAATGCCAGCTTGTACTGCGGACCTACAACTGGCATATAAACTTCTTACATGCCTCCAATTTCAGATGGCAAGCAGTGAGCGTGCTTAACTATACCTTATAGGAAGTGTGCGTTTTGGCCCTGGAGGGTCTAAGGAGAGTGCCGAGGGATGCGTGTATGTCCACTGTTCCCCTGGCCAGCACACTCATCTGCCGCTTCTTCCGCCGGACAGCCTCGGAGCCAGAGGGGAAGTTGAACAGCTCCACCTCAGTAGAGTCCAAACACAGTTCTATCGTGTTGTACGCAGCAGTAGTAGAGATTATCTTCACAGTCTAACCAAAAACAATAATCAGATGCGGTAGCTTAAAAGTTTCCCATCACGCTTACGACATTTTCGCAATGAACTAAATTAAGGAAATTAGAAACTGTTCTTTTAGTCACCTCCAAGTGGTTAAAATTATTTTAATTTACTTTATAAACTACACAATATCTTTTTGTTTGCAATACTAAGTATAAGTTACAAACAATAGGAAGTTAAATTTCTCAAAAACAAAGAATTCCGACCAGTTTTTCTCAATCCAAGTTTTTTGGATTTAAAATCACGCCCACCATCCAACTAGTGCTCAAAACGGTGTCCCACTATTTAACTCTACGATATTTAACCCCCTATGTTTACACTTCCTATATTATAACCCTGTAACATGATAACCCCACAACAGTTTAACCGCTTTTTAATGACGATAATTTGTTTCAAATGAAGTCCTTTTTATAACTACGGGAGAAGTCCAATTGAGGTTAACTAATTGAGGCCTGAAAAGCTAGTCCTAATTCACTTGATGTCTCTAGCATCTCAAAAAAAATTGCATTTCAACTAGTTAAAGAAATAATCCCTCACTCATGCGTTTAAAACAGAGAAAACCTACATGGCGCTAATTGAAAGCAACAAAAGACGCTTCCGTCCAAAAACTTAATTTCTATAACGCCTCGAGTGGGCACCAATTTACAAAAAATAAAAAATACCGGGTGCTCAACGAAAAAGAGCAGAGTATTATGCATGTTTACGAAGAAAAAACGGATTTGCATTTCATTCGCGCTATGACGAATTTGAGTTAAATATTTGCTTTTTTCTTCTTTGTATATTTTTTTAATTTAAAACTTTGTTTGTCAATTATTTTGAGAAAAGACGTCTCCTTGCAGCCTCCCGGAGACGTAAAAAAACGCATTGACTTGACTCGCTTTTAATCCCGGAACAATCGCTCCTTTGGATGGGACGCATCGGGATAATTAATTTTTAATCCGAAATCTGCCAAATTTCCTGGAGAAATTGCATAAATAAGCACTGGTTTTCTTAGAGTATTTCATTTCAACCTGATTTCATTACCCTATGCTTTTTCTGGCTAAAAATGAACTACTGACCGGACTCGCGCCTTTAAAAAGGGTTTTTATTGAAAGAGGGCGTTGTGACTGCCAAATGCCAAAGTTATAACTATAATGCACATCATATAATTTTCATAAGTGCTTGTCACATGATTTTTTAGTATGAAAAATGATAATCATGCTATTTTGTTGCTATTTTCTTCCATTTTTTTTCCAAAAAAGTATCATGTAAAATTTATTATTCAATTCCAGTTTATTGAAAAATAAAGTAATTATCAGAATATTTCATATTATGGAAAAATGCTCATCACCTTATTTTTATACCAAATTTTCGTCTATGAATAGTACGAAAATTACCATATTTTTCATAATATGAAAAAGTCTGATAAGCATTTCGTCGATCGTGGAAAGCGTTTAACGAGAAATTACAACATAAACAACTCTAGAGCTTTTGTTGACAAAAATCTGAATAACTGTTTCACCTTACAAGTGTACCTTAAGGCTCTCTGAGCATTTGACGGTTTTTTAGGGTTGTAACTTTTTGATAAAACTAAACCAATTCGATTTGGGAGTTCTAAGCTGCACTTTTGAAACATAAAGTTCAGTCAGGTTGCAGCGCCATTTGCACTGTTGTCCAATTGAATTATCTAGTCTTTTTAATCTAGAAGCTGAAGATAAATTCAGTAGTTTTGTTTTCAACATAACCTATCAGCATATGTTCATATATGTTCACTCAACGTTAGGAAAACTAAGCTTGCCAACGCTACCACAAATATTTATACACTTACAATAGTGCCCCCCCCCCGTACCTCAAAGTGGAGTTTGGCATGCAGCATGAATGGCACTTTTTTCACACTCTGTTTCTGCAGGAGAAGTGGGCGCTGCTGCTGCTGATGTCGTGCGAGACCACTGCGAGGGTCTAGGTTGGAGGGCAGTGAACTGGTTGTCTCTCCCCCATATCCCCCTCCACCTCCAACTCCCCCTCCCCCTTCCCCGGGGCGCATGTCTACCGCCGTAGTTTGCTGAACTAGACTCCACCCGTTCGGAACAGAAGTCTCCGACACTTTAGATATAATCTGCGAAAGTATTAGAAGAAAACAGAAAATTCAATCGATAAATTTGTTTTTGCTTTTAGCACAGGTTGAAATGGAATCAGATCCTGTGGGCGGGAACAAAGTGGAGTCAGCTATAACTTTGAAGGCAGATTTGCCTCTTTTTGGCCATACGTACAATTTAGCTCGATTAAGCGTGTACCCGCACTGACAAAAATGGCTAAGGATCGATTTAAATTGATTTTAAATCGATTCAAATCGATTAACAATGTTTATTTTACGAATTTAAATTGATTTTTAATCAATTTAAATCAATCTTTCTTGAAAAATTTGGATCGTTTTGAACGTCTAAAAAATCAATTTGAATCGATTGGATGGAGTTGGACTTAATAAAATCAATTTTTTTGGACTTCGATTTGGACTTAATAAAATCAATTTTTTTGCTAACACGGCAAAAAAACACACACTTCAGAAAAACAAACGAAAATTTTTTTTTTCGATTTTTGCAAAAAAACTTACACGTGCCAGATGTTGTAGAATTCAATAAATTAATAAACATAAATCAGGATTTCAGCTCAAAAATATGCAATGCAATCAGAGAAAATCATTGTAAATCATATTATGGGCAAAATACTATGTAACAAACAAGAAAAAAATCAGAATAAATTAAATTTTGATCTCGATAAAATGCAATTAAATTATAGAAAATCATGCAAAAACTTCTGAAACGACTAATCAAGAAAAGGGTCAATATAGATCAAGTTTTGAACTCAAAATATGCAAGGAAATCATAGAGTTTTATCACTATTTTGGTCTTTTTATTTGGCCTTTTTTATGCTACAATACGCTATGGATGTAAACTGAAAACTGATAGTCAATGAATGAATGCAATTAAAAATTGAAACTGATGAAACTCGAATGAAAAAAAAATCGATTTAAATCGATTTAAATCCGTTTCAATCCTTTTAAAAACAAAAACAAATTAGGACTGGAAAAATGGATTTAAATAGATTTAAATCCGTTTTAATCCTTTTAAAAACAAAACAAATTAAGACTGGAAAAATGGATTTAATTCGATTTAAATCCGTTTTAATCCTTTTAAAAACAAAAACAAATTAAGACTGGGAAAATGGATTTAAAACGATTTAAAATTGGTTTAGATCAATTTTTGTTGCTATTATTTACGATCAATTTAGGTCGATTTTAAATCGATCCAAATCAATCTTTATCTTTTCTATTTAATCTATTTTTTTTTCAACATATTTGTTTCATACTAAAATCAATCCTAATCCGTTTTTATCAGTGCGGGTAAGACTAAACTCAAAATCTAGCTGAAAAACTGATGATGTATCTTTAACCATGACATTTCACTGACCTAAATAAATGTCTTCATTGCGTTCGATGACACTTATTAAAACGAAAAAATCAAACATCAAAAAATCAAAACTGAGCGCAAGGAATAAAATTTAGCCAGCAAAGGAATTTTTTCTGAGAATTTGAGCGTTTTGGAGAAAAAAAATCATGTTGACGCTTTTCGGTGTTTCTTTAAGTTATTCTAATTAGAAAAAAAGAAGACTGCTCGTATCAAGGCGGAAGCTTAAAATAAAGGGTATTTTGTTAGCTTTAAGGGTATTTTGAAGCATTCCTAGTGACACAAACTGGAAAGCAAATCCACTATAAGTTGTGGGGCATGGAAAAAGAGCGGGAAAATGTCTCAGTTAGTAGGAATCACTGCCTCTCGGAAGTCAGCCAAAACAAACTCTTGTTATCTATGCTAAATTAAAATCTGCAATGATTAAGTTCGACTTGAGGTACAGATCACCCTAAATACCCTCTAGAAAATGAATGTGCAAATGATATTTTAGGGTCGTCCACTCTTCGGAAAAAACCTTTCAGAAAAAATCGGTGGAAAAAACAATCATTTTCGAAACTCATTCCGTAATTTTAATATTCACGCTTTTTCTATAACATATTTTCTCATTGAAAATCACGCAGGGCGGTTTGAATAACAAAAAAAAAACAAAAAACAACAGAAACTTAGTGGTTTGATGTGTGGCTGCAATTAATCTGGGAGCACTAACTTGTTTCACTTCACTCATGAACACATCTTGCACAATGATGAAGTGGTTTAAAAGGTCCATGCTCAGATGCTGCACGTACTCATCCACTCGCACTACCACAATCAGGAAGTTGCCCCCCTCGTACGCCCTGTGGCTCTCCTTCACCCGCACATAGCCCCCACTCTTGTCCGGCTTCACTTCTGGCACGTACACCCCCTCCAGTCCCACAATCGGGAAGTTCAGATTAGCCGCCGGCTCTTCTCCACTTTGCTGGGAAGAAGAGAGAGAAAATATCCAACTAGTGTTTGGTCCACATTTTACATTCTTTTATAGTCGTGGGCCGCATCTTTTTGAGGAAAAGTCAAAATTTTTCCAAAAAAAATAGAATTGATTATTCACGACGTTGAAACTTAGATGTAGAATTTTTTGACCCAAACATCAAGTAATTGAAGAGCAAATAAAAATGTAGTTGGGCCTCCAAACTCAAAGAGATGGTATGTTGATTTGTGATACGTACGAATTGGAGTCTGTGGTCGTCCAATTGGAGCTGGAACTCTATGTTGCGGGAGTGTTTGCCGAAAGTGCGCAGGTTATTCATCTGGTACGCCGCAGACAGATCCTCCAGCAACACTATCTTCAGTTCAAACTCATCCAGTCGAGCCTGAACAGACAAGACAGCAGACTACTCGGAGTGCGGAGTTGGAATGGGACGAGAAGCCTCAAATGATGCATAAAAAGGTCGAATTAGGACTGCTATGGTAAGTTAAAAAAAAGCGCGGAATAGAGGTTATTTTAGCTTAGTACAAGAAACTAAGAGTAGATATGGATCTCTGACAATTCCTTGTATGATTAGAGTAGCCGGTTGCTGCGCGAGTTTCAGAGAAAATTCTGATAAAATAAACTAAAATTTAAAATAAAGCCAAGGGCCGTAGATAAAAAGACAATGAGCACAAAATAACAGAAAAAACTGCCTTTTTTGAAAAAAAAAATTCATTTTTCAAATTTCAAAGTAAAAGATTTTTGGCCTCAACCGTCTTTGCTGTTATCGAATTTCAAAAAAGCTGTATCTGACCACAGCCGTCTTTGATTTTAAACAAGTCAAAACTTTTTGATTGAATTAACTCAATTTAAGAACATTAAATGAGTAGGCAAAGTGTTTATTCCACTATGGAACTGGGGCTGCAGTAACGTTGATGTATGCAATGAATGTAAAGGTACGCATTTTTAATACTATAAAAGCTATTTAGTGTAAGCCTGAATCTAAAAAGATATAACACCTCAGTTCGCTAATTTAAATTCTGGTTCCAGCAAATCCTTGAGGCAGTGACAATGAAGGAAAACGTCAATTCAGAGTTGCTTTGGAAGACACGAAGACAGTCCTAAGAGAACCCCAACTAAGACCAGAGATGCCTAGAAGCTATGAAAATGCGGATGCTATAGCAGAAAATAGCTTAGAGACAAATTGGCAGTCGATGGAGATACACTGGAAAACAAGAAACGGAAAGCATGGGGCCCCAAAGCAAGACCCACAATAATTCTATAATGATGTTCAGAAAAGACTACTTTTAGACGGTTGATAGCTTTAGGAAACGCTTTATGCAAAAATCCTCAGGTTCAGATTTTGATATCATAATTTGAAGGCTTGGCCAAAGTAACTTAACTTGCATTTGGAAAAGAACCAGATTGTCACTTATGAGAGATGAAGACTGTTCATTAGAAAGCAGGATTCAGGATAAACATTCTAGACACTTCATGTAGTTCCTATTGTTCAAGCAAGTCAAGCAGATTTGAGTATCCTAAAACTGAACTGGTGAGGGACTTGTTTATATCAGGAATGAGAAATGTAATACTTCAAGATACATTAATAGATTATCAAGAGGTGCAGGAAAGAGTGTTGTTAGCGTTAAGTACAGAAGACAAAAACCAATCACCCATGTAATAAACCTCCACGAGGTGATTTCAAAAATAGAAATCAGTGAAATGGCGGAAATAGCCTAAGAGGCCAATAAGAAGGTAAAAAGTGACACTTTTGAGAGATACCAATCGTTCGCTAGAAAGCAGGAGTCAGGAGCAACCTTGGAATCATTTCAAGCAGCTTCTACTGCAAAACAGCTCAATCAGAATTGAGGATTTAGAGGATGAACTGGTTAGGGTTTTGATCATTAGAAAAACGCAAGATAAAAGAATGAAATACACAAACAATTGAAAAATATCCCTGAGTACATCCCTAAATGGTCTCTGATGCTCGAGTAAAGCTAATAAACTACGCCTTTTTTCAGAAGACAAGTGCAACTGCAGCAAGGGGAACTTCTTTATGAGCGATCATCAAAAACTAACTACAACTGGTTATATCATTAAGAAACTAAAATACAAATTAAAGACATACAAGAAGAGATAACTAAGGACTGAGACAAAAATTTTCAAAAAAATGAAGAAAAAACGGAAACAAAAGCGAGAAGATGCTTTCCCAGAGAAACTGGAAAAACATTGTCAAGCTGTGGAGAAACAAACCGTTTTGCAAAAATTTGTAGGTGAGCAAAATAGCTGAGGAATCGGAAGCATCGGAAGAAAAGTGCAATTAGTGGAAAACATTGGTTTGCGTGATGCATTTGAAATTACATCTACAAAAGTCGTACAGTTCGAAAAATATACCCGAGACGAAAAAGACAAAAAAATCAGGAAGAACAAAGAAATAGATAATCACGAATATCCAAGATCGGAAAAAAATGCAAATGACGGCGGAAACAGGTAGTCCTATATCGTTTTTGAATTAATTAACAACAAAACAGGCAAAGGAAGCGTCAAAATGAGCAAAAGTTGTTGCAGTACAGAAAACAAGCAGTTTTTAGATAACAATAAGAAACCAATTCTGTGTCAACAAGACTTAAATCGGACACACGATCAGCTGGTTGATAGGTGAAAGGAGCAACTTTGCCAATCACAGAGCGATGCACAAGGTAAGTTCTGGCGTTAGACTTGCAGGGAAAATTGGAAACACAAGAACCCAGGGTCCAGCATAAAAAGAAAACTAAGAGAACTGTTATGACATGCTAGTGTGCGAGGAGTCTGAAGGTCAAAAACAAAAAAACTGTGACAAATTTAAAAAGTTATTTGTTGAAAAATAAATAAAAAATCATGTAGTGAACTCAAAATCCAAGTTTCCACTTTATCCATCTAAGAGAGAGGTAAAGCAAATATCTATTTTTTTTTACAAAAAAAAGTGCAATTAAAAAAATAAAACAGGAAAGACATTTTCAAAAACTGTATGAATGTACAAGCTACTGTTTGACTGTGAAGAAGAACAGTCTATCAAACTCACATTAGATGCAGAGTAGATAGTTTGATAAGTTATCAAAAGCAAATATCAAATGCCAAAGGGAGAGAAATCAATAGAGGTAACAATATTCCACAAAGTTAGAAATGCTACGGGCACATTTAGATTTTACGGCGTTTCTAAAGATTAAATGGTCTACTAATTGAAGGTAGTTAAAGTTTCAACAAGAAAACCAGAACTGTCGATCAGTTCAAACTGTTTTTTATCTGGGAAAGTATTAATTATAACAACAGCTCATAAAGCGTTAACTTCAGCCATTGATGGTCACAGATCAAACAAAACTAATTAATTTAGGTAGAAACATTACTTCCTTATCGTTTTTATAAAAAACTACATAAACCCTGTAAAGTCATGGGTATTGTGGTTTAAATATCTAGAGAGCCTACAGGAGAACCGCTGCCTGAACCGCTCAGAGTCGAAACTTTTAAAGTCTGGTGTACTTCAGCTTAAGTGCAAAATGCAAAAAAGAAGATGGAACGCACAACCAGCATAGGGAAGGGTTTTCATTCTCGAAACAAACTGGACAAAACAGGGAAGACAGCGCAAAAAGCATCTTTGAACTCAAAGACGTACAGACAATTTCAGCCCAAGTAAATCAAACAAAAACAGAAGCGGCAGGGGACACAAGACAGACTGTAGAAGAGAAGGATCAAGGCAGTCCAGAGCCGAGCGTAGTACACCCAACCAAAAAGTAGTCTCATTTTTTACGGAAAATTAACCTTCAAATGTCAGAGCAGCTGTGAGAAAATTGCCTGAATCTACTGCGGCTAATTAGTGAAGGCCTCCTTGCGGAGCTCAATGCAAAATCAATTTATCGAACTATGGGAACCGATACAAACCCGGCATGGAATGAGTTGGCGATGGTGAAAGGCTACCACCTTTTGGACAATTGTCTAGCCGCGCATGAGCAGTTGAGACAGGCAGAGATGAAGAGAATCCATAGAAGACTACCTGGCCAACAATCGATGCTAGACATCTTCAGCCATCTCTGATGACCGCATATGCATAATTAAGATGTGTGTAATACCTCGATGTCCAGGCTTGGTAAGTATAACAAAAGATAGATCTCAAAGTTGTTACTTCACTTGAAACCGTATTTAATGTTTCTCGTTTTTAGCTCTCCTTCTAGATAACTGAGCTCCGTAGCGTAGTACGGTAACCTTCTCTTTTTATGTGCAGAACTAGGTCGTCAGATACTGTCCTTAAAATAGTACTACACATATAAATACATACATACATAACATAGACACTCCCCCAAGGTTACTGTAGTGTGGCTGCAGCTGCAGCTACTGTACCACAGTCCCCGGTGGGACAATTAAGATTTATAATAACTTTTTATAAAATTTTAATAAAGTAGGAGTCCTTAACGCTCAGTTTAATGTGCAATGGTATCCAGTTTTATGTTTGTTTGTTCTGGTCTATCCGTTTACGCCGCCTCTCTGTCGTTTTCCGGGGTGTCGAAGTTGAAATTTAGCGGTATCCGTCATGCGGCATTCCAGGAGCGCGTTACGTCCAGCGACGCATAACCAAATTTCCGACGGAACAAATTTCGATCTAAAATCCCCAACTTCGATTCTGCTGCATTATTGTTGTCCGCCTTGAATTTGGCAACTTTGAGTCCGTATGCTTCTAGTGCGGCCATGTTGAGATCTGTAATTTTGTCCTCTGAACAAATTAGGTGGACTGAGTGTTTTACCGGTTCTCCGTATCTTTTCGGCCCCTGATTCTTCGTCTGACGATTGCTTCGTCTCACTTGAGTAGTATTTCTTTGGTGTTCATCTCTGCCAGATTCGTCCGAGAAACCTGGTGTTGTGTCTAGTTGAGAATCATTGTTTGGCTCTTCTTCCCTTGTTTTTAGTATAATTTCTGCTGTTTTCTGGAACCCTCTCGTCAGCACTTGACCCGCCATTTTCTCCCATTCGTCCGTTGTCATATCTTGGTTTTGAAAAGCCTCCAATATTGCTTTCGGGCTTGTTTGACAATTGATTTCCTGTAACTTTAGCTGAGTAGTCGGGGTTGATTCACATGTCTTTTTGCTCGACGGTCCTGAACTCGCGTTTTGGGTTGCTTGTTCTTTATTGGCTGCTAGCGCAGCTTTGGTTCTGCGGGCTTCTTGAACAGTTGGCTTCTTGTTCCTCTTCATTGGGCTGCCTTTGCTCGATTGTTTAGGGAAAATTAAAATCGGTCCCGCATTGTTCGGTTTTGCTTGTTTAACCGCAAGATTTATTCCCTTCCGCCCAGACTCTGTGTCTTTCGAAGACACCCTCACTGGGCTGTCCTGGAATCGTTCTTTGTTCTTCTGATCATTTGTCATGTTGTAGCAACTT